GTGACAATAGCCGAGGAGAATGGAAGACCGAACTAACTTTGAAAAGTCAATAACGTTTCGCAATTAGTAATTTCAAGCGTGTGTCTATGAGAGAATACGACAGGTAAAATTTATTGCGTTCGTGTAAAACATTGGATTATTTATTATTAACGAACGACGACATTCTTTCATTGTTTCTCGTTGATCGAAATTTTCTCTCTTCTTTATTTCCCCCTCCCCCCCCTTTTTTCTTTCTTTCTTTCTTTCTTTTTTTTTTCCTTTTTCCTCTTTTCTCTTCTTCCTTTTTTCTATTTCCGTCATAAAATTTCATTCCTTTTTCTAGGAGAAAGGTAAAACGAAAATTTTCAATTTGCCCCCTCGCACAACAGCACAAAGATTTTCGCGCAATTTACGTAGCTCGTTCCAATGTGGAATCGTTTTCTCGCGAAGCGACACGGTGGTACTCGTCCACAACAAATGCTGGATCTGCAAAATCGCACGGACGTAAATAACCGCAAAATGAAACGCGCGGAACGCGTTGCCCCGAATTTCTCCGCTGCGGTCGATGTGTTTCGCTTTATACGGCTTGTCACGCGCAGCATTCGTTCACGTAATAAAAACAAGAGTCTTGAAAATGAACGCTTTCGTTTAGAAGATCTCGAATATTTATAGTCTCCATTCCGTCATGTTTGTAACGCTTTAGACAATTTTTTATCAGAGGGAATATATTTTTCGAAATCTCTGTTAGTAACTCTCGACTATATTTCGTTTCTCCGTGACGCGCATACTTTAAAACACCACGTTACACCAATATTTGTCGATGTCTCGAAAAGATTATAGCGAGTCCGTGTGATTGTACAACGTTAAAAATTTGACGAAATTTATAATTTACGAATTTTCTCCTTCTCTAAAAGAGATTTTCTTTGCTAATACATTTATATAATTTACAGAGAATACAATTGAAAATGCGAAAATGCGAAAATAAATATTTAATATTTGGATAAAAATCAACTAACTCTAGTGATTTTCTCGGTTATTTTTTGTTTTGTTTTTCTTTTCTTTTTTTTTATTTGGAACACACACACACACACACATATATATATATATATATATTTTTAAATAAAGTTTAACTATTCTCACGGTATCGAAGTCGAACTTTCGATTTCCAAGAACGTTCGAAACTTCAATCAGCTTGCGGTAGCTCAAGTTCGCGGTAGAGTATATCTCGTGATTAAATTCACTCTCACGTACCACGAGTGAACCCTTTGAGGCGGAATAATTTCTAAACGATGCGGCGCATAAAACTTTCGTCTCAAAGGCCCTACCGTAATCATTATCGACGGAATGGATTGCGTGCAATAAATATAAGTTTTATTTAAGATGTATTAAAAAAATATCTGTGACATAGAAACGTTCTATATATTATATCGTATTATTGAACAAATTCAAAATTGAAATTTAGATTTGTTACCTGTAAAATGGACGATGACTTCTTATTTCTTCTCTCCAACATTTTGCTTATAATTCTATTATATCGTAATATGGTTAAGAAAAAATAAAAATATAAAATTATAATACTCGATTGTCGATAATAAATTAATAAATGATAACGAACAAAAAATATCTATTTGGTTAACTAAATCGAATGATATCTTTAGGTGATATATATATATATATATAACACATATATGTATGTATACATATGTGTATACACATATACACATGCATATATATTGGATATATATGTATATATATCGAAGCTCGGTAAAAAGTAGCAGTTATAATTAAATAAAAAAAAAGATAAATGAAAAATAGCAAATGATATATAGACGACATTAACTTCCAATTTTCTTTTATGTATTATCAAAAGCTAAATCGATAGAGACAGGACAACGTAGTACATCGAAATACTGATTCTCACAAATTAGTACGACTTATTGTCAATAATTGTACGTTAACGGAATTTACAATCTATTTTGAAAAACGATTTAAAACCATTCGGTTTATTCGATGTGATCCTGGCAATAAATGATTTTCGCAGTGATGGCAGTGATGTATTCGATTTATTAAGATATTCAGACTGACAGTTTCACTATCTACATCTACATCTTCATTCTTAGGATCTTCCGCGAAGCATCCGCGTGTGCATAAAAATGTTTCTCGTCATAGTGAAAACATCGGTCATGATACATTAATAACATATCTATAATGTTAGGTTTAATCCGATATATACTATATATATATATCGATGGCAGTTAAAACCTCGATTCTGAATTCTCTACTAAACAACGCACAATCATTATCGGCAGTATCATCTTTATCGTTATCCCTCTCATCGTTAATTTTCATTCTCCTAAACGATTCGCTATTACTCGAGTAGCAGCCTCGAGTCATCATCATTCGCATAAACGACCGTCTCTCGTTCGATCGCATTGCAAATCTATCTACATTATTTACATAATCGATTGCGGCAAAGGCGCATGATATTGATAACATTTTTCATTTCTTGTTTTCACATCTATCATATGTATTTCACATTTATCTTTCTTATCTTATTTCACACGCGTTTTGCGTTCGAACCGACGGCCAACAATTCAAACTGTCAGGTACAACGTAAGAGAAGAAGTCGGAGAGGCTGAAGCAATGCGAAGCTTTCTGAAAAAGCTGGAAGCCTGGCACGATTTCTGAAATGGGATCGAAATATGCAAGACCTCTTAGACGTTTCACCGTTTTATTTATGACGAACCACTTGCCGATATTTATACAAGGCAAAGAGACCTCGGGAGTTACACGAGTTCGATTCGATCGAACTATTTTTTCGAGTGCTACTCGAAACGTAACACGTTCGAAATATCCATCTTCGATATTCTCAAGAAATATAAATGAAACGAACACACGTTCCCCCAAGGAAAATCTAACGTTCTCTTTTAACCAATTCGCGTGAATCCGTCGGATTTCCTTTACTCGAAGTCATCCTCAAAACGAAACGAAACGAAACGAAACGAAACGAAATGAAACGAAACGATAGAGAGGTCCGCATTTTCTATTACCCTTTTCAAATAGAAATTCAAATTACTAAGAAGACGAAGATATAGCGAAAGACATTCGATTAATGCTGCTGAACTTTTTCAATATACGACGGCCAATGCCAATTGTTTCCTTTTTCTTCTTTTTTTTTTTTCTTCCTTTTTTTTCATTTATATATACATATATATATATATATATATATATAATTTTTTTTTTTTTTTTTTTTTTTTTTCAATCTTTCTATTTGATATAATCGCGCTTAATTGTACGAAACGAAGCCACGAAGCTCTATGCGACGTCGTTGTCGATGATTCGAGGCTACACGATATAATATACACCGCCTCTCGTCTCTCTCGTCATTTTTCTCTTTCCTCTCTCGGACGTCGAACTAAGCCGCCTACAGCTTTTTATCTAAACACAGTCATCTCCTCTCTTTTTATCATACTTCGAGCATATTCTTTGCCTGCTCTTCCTCTTATTGTTTAGACGTCATACCAAAGTCGAGGCTAAGCAATGGCAAAACTATTTTTATCACGAAACTCTTTTACATTCCTTTTCTCTCTCTCTCCCTCTCTCTCTCTCTCTCTCTCTCTCTCTCATTTCTCTTTTCCTTCTTCTTTTCCTTTCACTCTCTCACTCTCATTCTATCTCCATCTAATTATATGATTCGCGCTTATGTATGTACATATATATTATATTTATACGTATATGCCTATATTTCTTGTTAATCGGTTTTTTTTCTATTTTCTTATTTTTTCTTTTTTTTCCTTTTATTATTTTTTTTTTCCTTTCGTACGTATATGTATATTTACTAGATATACAATTTTCTCTCCACGCGTTTTCCTTTTTCGACGAAATCAAAAAGTATCGACGCTAGGTATATTCAGTTTATCGAGAGTTTTTCATTTAAAACGATAACACTGAGAAACTAGTATGATATGAAAAAGAAAATGAAAATTTTACGTAGGCTCGATATTACTCAGTTTATTTCTCGCTATTTCTCTTCCTCCCCCTCCCTCTCTCTTTCTCGATATATCGCTTTTCGTTTCGGGTATGACGATCGACTTATCGAAAAAGGAAAAACTCTTATTAAAAAGAACAGATCTAAAATCTCTGCGGTTTATAAGGATGATCCAATTTCCTTTCGCGGACAATAAAAGGCGACCAGTATTCGCTTTTCTCGTCCTCGAGAAAACACCGACGACCGATAGCTATAAGGAACGTGCCGCGATGTACTAAACGATCCTTTGCGAGAAAGTATTCTCTTGAAAAAAAAAAAACCTCGCAAAAAAAGCTACCACGTCGAGAATATATGTAGGAAGAAATGTTGATGGGAGGAGGAGGAAGAGGTGAGGAGGAGGATGAATAAGAGCGAAAAGAAAATTTTACGTCAAACGAAACTCGTGAACGAAATCGGCGAATATCGTTTTGCTTCGATGCAACCATTACTACGACACTAACAAAATATTATTAAAAAAAAAAAAAAAAAAAATAGTAATAAATAAATAAATAAATAAATAATAATTTTACAACTCGGTGATACGATATAACACGTTCATGATTTTCAATATCGATCAAGGAACTTTAATTACGTTCGTATGAATCGTCGAATCCGAGTCGAAAAACGATAAACGTTCTATACTATGATTATCTACGAAATCATGTAATATAACATGATGACAAAACGAATGTACATATATCGACGATAAGAAAGGAAGAAGAAATTTTCTATATATACTATTTTGTCGATACTTACGAGCAACATTTTTTCCAGTCTTCCCTTTCGCTCTCTAATACAGAAAAGGGCTCTCTATGCCCCTGTCTTTACTGCGACACTCACACAATATATCAATATATATATATATATTAATATATTTATATATTTATATATTATATATATATATAATATCTTTTTTTTTCTAAATCTTTCTCACGCGTTCATTCTCTCTCTCTCTCTCTCTCTCTCGCTCTCTTTCTTTCTTTCTTCTTCTCGTTCATTCACTCATTCTCTGTCTTTCTCTCTCTCTCTCTCTCTCTTTCAATCTTTCTCTTTCTCTCTTTTTTCTCTGTTTAAGTCTAGCTTTAGTATGAAAATAATTTCAAGCGTGGCCGACATCGTCGCGTTCGGGATCCGTCGCGCGGCCGGAAACGGCACACCGGACGCACCGTCCAATAAACACTACAACTGGAAGCCCCGTTCCCGTGATGCGAGAATCATCTTCTGACGGCATTTAGGAGCAACGGGAGAAGGCTCGGCAGAAGAAGATGAAGTAATAAGCGGGGCTCGCGAACAGCGCCCAGATTTAACGCATCCGCGGGCAAATCTCCTGGTGGCATCATCGATGGTGGCTCGTACTCGTTCTCGTAATCTGTAAACAGATATACAAACACATACAAACATTTTTTTTTTTTTCTTTCGATTGATTTATTCGACGCAAACACGGACATATGTTCGATTGAACGTCTACGTTGTTTTTTTTTTTTTTTTTTTTTTTATTATTAACCTTTTGCTAATTTTAATTATTTTCTTAAATCATTCGAAATATGCTTTAGCATATTATTATATCTGAGAAAGTAATTTTGTATAAAATTATTTCTATTCTAATGATTTGTTTTAATTAAATGAATGTATAAAGCATCACGTAGCACATCAGTAATCTCATGGATTTCATCAGAATTTCATCTGCAAAAGATTAATTATATTGAATGATATTGAATAAATATATCTAACGGGCTGTAATAATTTATAATGAGAAGTGATATTTAATTAAAATTAATTGTCAATGTAAACTCTTGTCGTTGTAAAAATTCCGAATAGTTTTTATTTTCGAATTTTTGGAAACTTGTTACAATTGGAAGTCGTCAGATGATAAATCTAGACCAAAAAAGAAATCCTGTTTTACGAAAACGAATAGGAATATAAAAGATGAAAAATGAATAAGAGATGGGTACGTTCTTTAATGACTTACAATTGTTGCGAATTTTTTTCTAATTTCAAGATATAATTATTCGGAATTTGAGTCGTTGTCATTGTTAAATATAATAATAAACATTGTTAAATATAATAAACATGAACAGAATACAAGTTATTAATTTATATTGTAAATAATAAATAAAAATTATATTTAGAATAAAATTTGTTTAATATTTATTAAAGAGAATCTATTCTAATGCGTTTGTTAAGGTTTATTTTATGAATTCTCATGATCACAATATTTTATCCAATTTCAGTGATTAAAAGATCATACGAAAGATAAACGCATTTAACACGAGATAATCGTTTTAGGTTTTCAAAAGAGGTTTTTACTTCCCTGTTAAAATTATTAATTTTTTGGATATAATTTCTTTTACAGAAAAATTGAGAAGATAATCTCTTGTATAAAATCATTGTCTTTCGATTGAGCCCATGTTTAGTAAAATCGGATAAATATTACGATTGTGAGAATTCATGGGGTAAACCCTTTACAAGCGCACAGGAAGAGAACTTTTTTAATCTAAAAAGAAAAAAGAAAAAAAAAATATATATATATATATTTTTTTTTTCTTATTACAGACTAACGTGTTAATAACAATTTCGAAATTCGATTAACATGTCGAACAAGTATAGCTCGTCGAAAAGTTTGTTTTCAAGGAAATCGCGACATTCGATTTATTGCGTGCGTTCTAACGTGCGAACAAAGTCAATCGATTTACCGGAAGGGCCAAGGGGGAAACAGAATTGTACGATGGTTGAAAAGAAAAGCAAAGGTAGACGGAGAAAGAAAATAACGAGAATTCCGTCCTCCTTTCATCCAACTCTACACTTGTTCGATCTGAACCGTAACCCGCAAAGTTCTACCCTGTTCTGTCCCTCGAGGCGACCGATGGCCGGAGGTCACCGAAGCTCGTTTTTCATTAATTGAAAGTAAACGTCGCGAGGAGAAAAGTGACTTCGCTGCTCGAGGAAATCTTTCGACGAAATCGCAAGTTCGCCCTTTGAGTAGTTCCTTCGAGCGTTCGTCAGCAGCTGACCTCATCTTTTGTATCGACTCGTCGATTTTGATTTCTTTTCTCTCCTTTTTTCTTTTTTCTTTCTTTCTTCTTTTTCTATCCTTTTTTTTTTTCTTCTTTTTTTTTCTTTTTTTTTAGCAAAGCGTACCCCGTGTGTTAAAACCCATGCATTAGTTTTCTTCCGTAATTATTTTCAAACAAAAGAGCTTAATCGAGACATTGATCGAACGATCGATATCGATTGTATACGATCGTGTATGCGATTTTATTAAATTCTAATTGGACACTAAAATTTTCAAAGGATTTACGATCAGAATTGACACTTATTGTTAAAGTTTATTGTAAAAAAGAAATCTATTTAAAATCATGTTCATGTTTCCTTTCGTCTATGTTTAAAATTTAATATGCGAACTAATTCAATTCAATTCCTTTTGAAAAGAATTTTATTTCTTGTGGCTTGATATAAGGTTTTTGGATAAATCTAGGGACTGATATATATATATATATATATATTATCTGATATTGGTTTTAAGGAATGTGAATTCGATACTGAGCGACAAAATAAGAGACAGACAACGATAAGATAAATTTGAAGAAAATATAATCGATACTTAAATAGAATGAAAATCGAAAAGAAAAGAATGTTATAAATAAATATTTCGCGTTAGTTAATGTTGTTATGTCTAATGATTCAAAAATGAATTCCCGTTGTAATAATAAGCGAACACTGTTCAATAAAATTTACGAGAGAATGATGACCTTTTCAATTGCATATTTACCGACTTCAGAATTTACACACTTATTTATTTATTGACAGTTTTATAAATGCAAAAGAAAGAACTTTTATCTAATTACCTATTTTACAAAATACAGAATATAAACTTATTACCTAATTTTTAGTTACATTGAATGGAAAAAGAAAAAAAGAATTAAGAAATAATCATAAACTATTAATTAATTAATAATCGAATTTACAAAATGACAAATATTGGCTGATCTTTCGAATTACTTTGATTTATACTGACTTATTCTTCTTCAGATACAATTAGTTCATAATATAATGAACTTCTCGAGGATAAAAGATTTGCTCTTTCTAATGAATAACACCTCCGATACCGATTGAATTAAAATTTAACAAGGGATCGATTGGATTACGAAGTGAGAACCACCCATGCAAAATTGATAAAATTTATTAGAATACATTTTTATAATAATATATTGGAATAAAAAAAAAATATATTGAAATATAAAAAATGTATTGGATATATAAAATTATCGGAAACCGTTTATGTCATTAGATGTATTAGATGAGCGCATGGATGGCCTAAGGTTACAAAAATTATAGAGCATCGATAATTATAGAGGGATAAAATAGCGATAGTTTGATAAATGTTAAAGGCACTAGAAAGCTTTGAAATTTTTTTTAATTGACTCACGTTCAATTATTTATAACAAGGGTCGCGGATGAGTATAATACTTTTCTTTTTTTTTTTTTTCCTTTCTACGGGATATTAATTATAACATTATAAAACAAGAAAATCCATCGAGAATCATTTCCAGATCAATTCTATTTGTAATGTAAAATCTATTTGTATATTTAAAATCTGATTTTTACCACGATTCCAATTGAACGGATAAAGGAGATATTTTTAAGGGAATGTTCCTTTCTCATGGTAGATATTTATTCTTCTTAAGATTTTATTAATTATATCTGAACTATAGAAAGTGGAAATAAAATTGACGAGGTGGCATGGTGATAACGAAAAGTTTGAAAAAATTCGAGATATTTTTTATTATAAAATCGTAACAACATATATATATATTTTTTTTTCTTTTTTCTTTTTTTAATCTGATTTTGATTGAAAATTTCAAATTATTATTTCCTACGATTCTTCTCGAGATAACACGGTAAAATTATAAATAGAAAAATGTAATTTCGAAAAAATTGCGTTCATAGTTTCGTTACGATAGAATATGTTAGAATATTTATACTTACGCGATTAAAAAAACTTCTGACGTTGAAGTTGCTTGTTGAATGGATTTCATTACTCTGTTTCTTGTATGGCTTATGAGTAAGAAAATTGTGGCAGGTCCATTAAACCGCAAAACCTTACAAAATCGACCCAAACAAGAGCTTATATCTGTTTGGCTACGCGCCATTCTAGATTTTACAATTTCCTGACTGCAATTTTGCATTGGACTTTTTAAAAAAGTCAAATGCGTAAAATCAAAGTAATATGGAAAATATATAAAAGATCAAATACCGATTTTTTCGAAACTTTAAACCTCTTTAGATCCCTTCTAAAGATATCAGTTTACTTTTCACCCTAAGTAGATCCTTAAGTTAAACATTCTTAATCTTCAGCGAGAAAAATATTAAATATCGGAAAATAAATATATATATATATATATGTGTGTGTGTGTGTGTTGTATGATAAGTATAATTAAAAAAACAATATTTCGACAAATGATATATTGTTTTGTCAAGTGAAATATTATCACTGAAAAGGAGTTTTTAATCGACGTATTTTAATTTATACGCGTTAGTCTAATTTGTAAATTTGATGATAAAAAAAAAAAAAAACGTAAAGACTATACGAACTGATACAAAAGAAATAATATAAAAATCTATAGGGAAATATTCATAACGATAAAATATTATATAAAAGACGAATTATTCAACCTTGTATATCAGATTCAATACATATTTATTTTTCTTCGATATAAAAACTGCGTTAACGGAATAAATAATTTATACTATCTATCTATCTATCTATCTATCTATCTATACATATATATATATATATATAAATATCTTTTTTTGGAGTCACGTAGCCAATTTAACGAATCTCGATGAAAATAATATCCTCTTCTGTTTCGTATTCTTCGTAAAGTTTTAATTATGCTAAATACTCGATCGACTTATTAGCAAAAGCAGAGCCGTATCGTCATGGGAATTGTCTTTGGAATTTACCAAGCGAAGTTATACGAAAACAGACATTTACTGACCTGGATCTCTCCATTCCTCGACTTCGTAATCGTTGGGACGTTGACGTAATTTCTTGTTACCGTTTCTACCTAGAGGACAATATACGAACGACGTTTTATCGATATGCTACATCGGTACGGGGATATTGTGTAAGAATAAAGAGGATGAACTACTCTAAATAAGGAAAAGATAAGCTAAAGAGAAAGAGAAAGAGAAAGAGAAAGAGAGAGAGAGAAAGAGAGAGAGAGAGAGAGAGGAAACTTCGGCTTCTGCTATATTACAGCAACAGTTTCGCGTAATTAAGCGAATAATTAAGATCATTGTAACGAAGTAAAGTAACTTTGCATATACGATGGTAAGGAAATGCTCTTGTTCGAAGATAAAAGGATAAACAAAATACGAACTTTGATCGCGCGCGAATCCAGGTGTAATTAAGATCATCTTGAGGAAGTAAGTAAGGAAAAAAAAAAAAGAAAAAAAAATAAGAAGAAAAGGTGCAATGAAGAGAGAAATAGAGTAAGAGAAAAAAAGAAAGAGAGAGAGAGAGAGAGAATATAGAGTTGCCCCAACTACCGTCGTTTAATTAATCTCGAGCTTATACTTCTCACGTTACTCGAGAGAAATCGTTCAAGACGGTGAAAATGGCATAAGTAGAAAATAAAGTTTCGGCGTTGAAACAAAGCGTTAATTACCGTTTTTCTTCATTAATGATGTTACGTAATACGGAGATTGCGTTGTTGAGGTCGTCGATGGAGCTGGGATTTCTGTAAATAAATAATATTACAAAAGATCAATCATAAAAATGATTAATTCGAAAAAAAAAAATATAAAGATAATTACGTTTCATTGGTGTTCTTTTTTTTTTGTATAATTCTCGATGAAAGGGTATTGTAAATTACAAATAAAATAAAAAGTCTATATTCCTAGTGTCTTTTTTTGTTCGCAATTGTTTGAGGAGCAAATTAAAGGATCGTAAATCCTTCGTCGATTCATTTTGGAAACGTTTTATTGTTGTATTATTGTATTCTTCGCTTTGTTAAAACGATGACTCAAACATTTGTCGTATGACTTTAAAATCATTTCTAACTATAATCAGTTGTCGTTCGATGTCGTTAAGCTTCCTCGTTAAGTGAATTTAATGAAAAAAAAAGCGGACGATATTGGAAGAAATGGAAAAAAAAAGAATATATATATATATATATATATAAAAGAAAAGAAAAAAGTTGAGATAAAAATCGATATCTGTCTATACCTTACTCGAGATTTCAATATCAGAAATATTCGCCCGTTTTTTTTCATAATTAAGAAATTTTCAACTAAAGTTCGCTTCTTACGTACACTTATTTTAATAATGAAAGTCTGTAAAATGTTCCTCTATAAATGATTACAAAAGGGCGGGGGGGGAGGCGGAGCGGAGGGGGGCTATTTTTCGAGAAACTTTTAATTCCAGTCAATTTATTCGTAAAAAAAAAAAGAAAAAGAAAAAAGAAAAAAAAAGGAAAAAAAAACCTAGAAAAGAAAAAAGTATGTTCCGTACGGATAAATATATCCCTCGCAAATTTCATCGCCAATTACGACGATTATGTTGGAAAGGATGCTTGACCTCACTCATCATCGATCGACATTCAATGTTCAGACCGTCAATGTCTTATGCAGAGGACTATTGGAAATCAATTATTTTACCATTAGGACGCAGACTTCATAGTGTCGCCAAATAATTATCTATAATTACGAAGTAATGTTTAACCGATTACGTTCTTAGACACGATCTGACTCAATCTGCCTCCTTTCATGATCTTCAATATCGACATATCAAAAGGAAAGTTACACCGGAAATCTTTTTCCATCTTTGTTCCTACTTTTTCTTTCCTTTTCCTTTTTTTATCTTCTTCTTTTCTTTTCCTCCTTTTCTTTTTCTTCCTTTTTTTCCATATTTTTCTTTTTCTTTTTCTTTCCTTTTTTTTTTCTTTTTTCTTTTCTAATCATAAAAAGAAAAAGCAATCGAACGAGATATCATATCCAACTCACCATCCAACTTGATAACACCATCAGTTGCTCCCAATGAATTCTGTGCCACACATTTGTACGAACCAAAGTCCTTTGGGCTAACATTTCGTATCTTCAGTAACATGTACTTCGTGTAGTCGTTATCGGAGAACACCGTCACGTACTTGTCACCTGAAACGCCATAATTTGCACGCTCGTTAACTCTAATTACATAGGTCGAGTACAGGTTAAAAGTCGACGCTTCGAAAACTTGAAAATCGTTAAAAACGAACGATCATGTTTCTACGAGTCCTATATCGAGTTTGAAAATATCAAAAACTATAAAAAGGAAGGTGCAAGCTTCGAGCCATCGTAAAAGATAAACGTGTGCAATAAAATCGAACATTACCGGAGACAATCATATCGCCGTTCTCCGTAGTCCAATAATTAATGGCAGTTGGGAAAGCTTCGATGTGACACTCGAGAGTAACGTCTTGTCCAATGTAGGCAGCTTCCAATTGATTTGGAATAGATAGCATTGGTGGAACTGAAAAAGAATAAAATAAACGATCGAATTGATCTTCTAAGATTAGCGAATTGTAATACAATCAAACTATTTAAGTATAAATATATTTTAATAATATAAAGATTTGAAATTTTATCGATTTTCTATCGACCACTTATTACGCGTCATTCATCGTATTATAAAGCAATGAAGTCATCTCTGTTATTATCGTTATTTATCGTTCGCATTTGATGGATTTTAAAGCGTATTCTCGCAAACGCTTTACGATCCACTAAAATCCTCCCTTTGTCGGTGTGAGAATTTGAAGCGAATGGTATGCTCGTCTCTTTTCCACCTAGAAGTTAAGATCCTTCTCTCTCTCTCTCCCTCTCTCTATAAGGGCAAAACACCGTCCTTAAGTTCTCCGATTATTACCGCTGTATCTACGATGGAAGGATGCAGCATGGCTTCTCTCTTTCTCTCTCTCTCTCTCTCTCTCTCAATCTATATAGACACTTCTGAATCGGTAATATCGTGTCACGGCAGCCGCCTTTTACGAACCGACGTAAATCACGGTTTACTGCGAACGAAAGCACCCTCGGACGAAGCGGCGAAAGACTGCTCTTATAACCTCCTACTCTTTTCCTATCTCTCTCTCTCTCTCTCTCTCTCTCTCTCTCTCTCTCTCTCTGTCTCTGTCTATCTCTCTCTGTCTCTCTCTCTCTCTCTCTCTCTCTCTCTCTCTTTCTTGCATACTTTTCCAAGTTATCGGTTGAATCGAAAATTTCCCAGTTCTATTCTTACCTTCTTCTTTCGTACGTGTGAGATCGATCGATAGATCGATGTACGTATGTACATACTTGAATAGGACGTCCTTGAACGTCGTTTGGATTTACTTACGCCACCCGATTGCGCTTCCGAAGGAGTCGCTTAAATTATATTACTTTTGCCCTCGTAAAAATTTTGCCTCGAGACCTTTTCGTTGGTTTATGTTGCCTTCTCAAAGTTCGTATGAAAATAGGAAAAAAAAAGAAAAAAGAAAAAAACACAAAAAAAAGAGAAAAATCAAAAAAAGAAATAGGAAAAAACAAAAAGGGAGAAAAGAAGAAAGAAAGTGAAAAAAAAGAAAAGGAAAGAAAAAGGGAAAAAGAAATAAAGATTGGGGAAGAGCAAAATCGTCATGCGTAATTTAAGTGAGCGTGGGTATAGTGGTTTATCAAGGGATGAGGTGTACAGGGAGAGGGATGATAGAGGAGGGTTGGTTTGAAATGGCTGCATTGGGACGACCGGACGTACATCGAGCATATCTAGGTCAAGTGGTCGCTCGTAAATCGGTGGCTAAATGAGACGTTGAAAGCCGACCTAATGCATCTTGCTGGACCGAGCTGTCTCTGTCGATGGACAAGCACTCTTTCACTGGACGAAGCTTTTGGAATTAGAAGTTAAGTCCTTCGATAATTTGCAACTTATAAACTTTGATAAATAACTTTATCTCGGTAATTAATTATATAATCATTAATTGTTATATATCTTTGAAAATTTTTTATTAATAAATATTATTTAATACGTGAAGTTGATGTTTTGCACTTTAAAATGATCTGTTTTTCTTTCTTGTTTTTTTTCTTTTTTTTCTTTTTTTTTTTTTTGCAATTGTTTATGACCTTTTGCTGATAAGTTATAAGCTTAGAAAGATTACGATTCGTAATTATGCATGTATAATGCAATATAATTCATGGAAAAGTGAATAATTTTTTTCAATAGAAATAAATTTTTCATATATATTTTCTCATTTATCACTTTGCTTTGATCGATAAAGAAAGAAATATTATTGTGTATACGCGTATTTTAAATTTGTTGAAGGCATTTGTTGAAGATATAATATTTAAGAATATTACAATATATTTTATCAAAACAAATTATGTGATATTAATAACGTTATATCTCATATTAGTTCAGTTATCAGCAATAAGAAAAATATATCAAGCAAACATTTCACTAGAAATTATTATTGCTTTTTATTGTATATGATGAGAATGCGTAGAAATATCAATACATGAGTACGATGATTGTAATCGAAATGCAAATAGAAACACAAATCTCAATCTGTGATTTTTCGGCTTTCAGTAAAAAAATTCTAGATTTTTTGCTTTATTTATTGATTAAATATTATTTATAAGAGATGATTGGTTCGTTATATTCGATTTTTGGTTTTTGTGAATTTTTTAGATTATATGCATCAGAAGTATATGACAGCTCATTTTTTGCATAAAACGATATTGAATGAAAAAAAGATTTTTAAATCACTGTATCTTGTTGAGAATGGATCGAATTGTAAAAATCATTTGTTTAATTACAATTAATGTCAATTAAATAATATAAATGTTCAATGAAATGAATGTATTGTTTTTAAATCTTCTAATAATCCAAAAGATTAAATGTCGTAATGGATAAAATGCTTGCCAATTTAATTTTTACAGAAAGTCATATCGAATCGAAACTTTTAGTGGACATTTATTACACGAAATTTAATTTTAAATAAACATTTCATGTCAATCCATTCAGCAATTCAGTACACTTTCATTCGATGGATTTTTGTTATGTTTTTTCCTTTCTTTTTCATTTTAATTTTTATGGACGACGTAACTAAGTGATCGATGAATACTAAAATAATGTAAAAAAAAAAAAAAAAAAAAGAAAAAAAAAAGAATTATTTGTTTAATAAAGCTTACAGTGCACGTTGAGAGTAACGCTTTTGCTGACCGATGGTGGTACTCCGTTCGATGCAATACAAAGATATTTTCCCATATGAAGGCGGCTGATCTTGACGATGTGTAAAACTTCGCCATCGATGACGTTTACTAAAACAGAAAAATAAAATGTGCCTATCAAATATTTGTCTGAAATTTATGTTATTTTCATACGGGGGAAAAACAAAAAAACAAAAAAAAATAAAAAAAAAAAACAAACACGCTTTGGAAATGTAAAGGATCGTTAAATTTCCCTAACGATACGAATTCTCTGATATAATAATTTTCATCGTATTTTCTTGCTTAACCGCGAACGAATCCTTTCGTCCACGATCCGTAACATTCGTAATTTACGCGATAATGGCAAATATTTTCCAAACGGATCGATATTCAAGGTGTTTGCACAGATTCGCTGGACGAAGAGAATTGCAACGCGAAATAAATATCTATATGTGTTCGTTGTAGCCGTATTACCAGATCGTGTACCAGAGACAATAACATAAGAGAATAAAATAGATTCTTTTGTTAGATATAGAATTATTTGATAGTTTACATACCGAATTTCTACAATGTGAACCGAATGAAAAGTGGTCTTTATCCTATATCAAAATAAAATTAATATTAAAATAATAGTAAAAGTTTGGTTTATTCTGCATTGATATAATAAAAAAGCTTGCTAGAATGAACAAAAGCAAATACGTTTAGGATTTAAAGCTCGAGAATATAATGGCAAATAGTTGTTCAATTAATAAAATGTATGTGTACATATATTTGATATTAACAAAATGAATATCTTCGAAACTTTTATAAAATTCGTTTCGTTGGAAACATTTTTCTTAATTTTCTGTGACACTTTCTATGACATTTTATTAATATATTATAAACTTAAAAAGATTATGATTTATAATAATACATATGGATACAACAATAAAGGAATAATGATACTTAAAAAAAAAGTTATTATTATTCTTCTATCGCATAAAGGAAAAGTATCAATTTGTATATGCAATATTTAAATGTATTAAAGATATTAATAAAAATAATATTAACGAATGTAATATTATGAATGAGAAAGCTAGATCTTACTCTTAATTAAAATGACAATAAAAACAACATTTCGAATGATATTACGAAGCGAAAAAATACAACTGACGTATACATTGTTTACTTTACCAATCACAAACAACGAAAAATCTTAAAAAGAAAAAAAAAGAAAAGAAAAAAAAAAAAAAAAAGATATCGTCGTTCTTCGATGCACAATAAAACTTAAATTAAAAAATTAATTAAATTATTAATTAAATTGAAGGAGAATAACGACAAAACCCCCACCCCCCCCCCAAAAAAAAACAAGAAAGGAAGAAAGAAAAAAAAAAGAGAAAAAGAAAAAACGAAAAATTTACAAAGGTCTGTAAAGCTTAATAAAAATCTCATCCTTTTTGTATTTTTGACCTGATTATAGTCATATCTGTGGTTCGCCATTATCGACGTTGTTTATTAAAAATACTCTTTTGTGTTTTCTATATGATTATCTTTCAAATGTGCTTTCGTGCATTGAAATCGGTCAAGAGTTGCAACTAGGAGAATTACTCGTGAAGAGGAAACCTCTTGGAAAAGCATTGGGTGGTGAGACCTCTTAAGGGTCATTTAGTCTCGTAAGGATTAACATTGGAGAGGTGAGAGGGGAGTTGGTTAGTATAAACGAGTCGTAGTATAAATTAGTGCTCATTCGCGTCGATGCGGGGTTAGTGCAGCTCGCGGGAACTCTAGCTCACTTTGCATAACATTTTCTACCTCTTCGTAGAACGGCTTAAGAATAAGCGGACAGCTTACGAAAGTAGAAAAAAGAATAAGTGGCTGAGTGGCTATTTGGGAATTAGTACGTGATGTATTTCACCGCATAAGCGTAACTCGGGACAATCGTATTTCATTCCCTGTTCTCTTTATCTTTCTCACTCTCTCTCTCTCTCTCTTTTTTTTTTTTACTTTCTTCTTTCTCCATTCCTTTCTAGCGTTATTACCGACAACAATTTTCAACATATATCTCTTTCTAATATCACGAAAAAATATCGACATATGTACGTTTAACTAATGAATCTTTACAATGATTCATAAAAGAAGCTCATAACGAATTATTACTCGAAGTTATTTTTGTAAATAAAAACGAAAAAAAAAAAAAAAAAAAAAGAGAGAAAAAAGACGATAAATATATTCCAATATTATTCTATATAACAGAGATTATTTTGATATTCTAACAACTATAAAGAAATATTGATAAATTTTTTCGAATCATTCTTGAATCGTATTTGCGTAGATTTACTATTAAAATAGTATTATTCATCTAAATATCACGTATAGATATAACATACGTTCGCGATATTCAAATTTATATGAACGATATTTCGTTTTTTATCTCGAACGTATATTATAAAAAGAAGTTAAAATGGAAAAACAGATAGAAGCATAGCCTAAAGCATAGGACGTTGAGTAAACATCGAACGAGTTATCCATATACGTTCTTCATGATCTTTATACTAAACCGTTATAGTAAAGCGTTCTTTGACTCGACCTTTGTAAGGACTCCCTTTGAATCTTCATCCTGATAATCCTCATCCTCTTTCTCTTTCGCTTTGTCTTTGTCATGAACAAACGAACGATGATCGATACAAGCGTGCGAATAATCGTATAAAGTTATGCGACGAGTCCAACGTGAATACGTTTTGACAAAAACACGTTTAAAATCCTCCCTTTGGTATTCGTGATAAAAAGAGAGAAAGAGAGAGAGAGAGAGAGAAAGAGAGAGGGAGAAGAAAAAGACAAAAAAAAAAAAGAAAGAAAGAAAAGAAAAAAAAAAAAAAGAAGAACAAGTAGAAGAGAAAGAAAGAAAAAGATATGTAAGAGAATTAAAGGGGTGGAAAAAAAATAAAGAAGCAATAAAAAAAAGGAAACAAGAACAAATAAAAAGAGAAAGAAAAAGGCAAAAATGCGAGGCTAAGTTCGAAGATGCCTAAATGCATATATACGAAGGCGAATAACGCAGGGTGAAAGTAGAAGGAAACCAATCGCATTTTCCGATTGTGGAAAGCGCGAAACGCCGACGACGAGCGTCGACGTGTTCACGTCTTTATAAACGATGGTGACCAAGGGTAAAAAGGGTGAGACGAAGAAGGGTTGGCCAAGCGAACAACCAGCGAGGCGTACCAATGCACGACCAAATAAACTTTATCCTGTAGCACGGACTTGGAACGAAAAGAAGTTACTCCTACTTTTTTCCTTTTTCTGTCTACGTTTCTGAATCGTTTCCTATTCTAACCCACCGATACTCCCTCCTCCCCCCTTCCCTCCTCGCCGTCGCTTCACTTTTTTTTCCCTTCTTTCCACATTTCTTCTTTTTCTTCTTCTTCTTCTTCTTCTTCTTCTTCTTTCTTTTCTTCTTCTTTTTTTTTTATCTTCCTTTCTCCTTTACACATTCTCTATCTTTCTTTTTCTTTAAATTCCGATATCGCGAGTTACTCCAACGTTATATTTATGTCTCTTGAACGATCGTATTAAGAATTGTCGAGGTTCTTTCATTTTCTCTTAAATTCATCAACAAACTGTTTTAACTTTTATTCTTCTTCTTAAGATTGTTTTTTTTTTCTTTTTTTTCTTTTCTTTTAGATACAGATGGACGATCTTTTTATTTTTGCATTGTTTCTAATGTTCAATTTGTTATGAAGATGATCCACGTGATTAATTGCTTACTTACTTATTTACTTACTTACTTACTTATTCATTCATTTAAAATCCATTTCTTATTTGTTATTATATATATATATATATTTTTATTTTTATTTTTATTATTCAAGATAATCCTATCCTTTAGTTCGTACGAACTCTTAGAAAATACCTTCTCCATGGACCGATCCGGTATCTATATATATATATATGTATATATATATATATATAATCGCGAAGAAAAGTGTAAGATAAGATCAATGAGCATCCCAAAAAAAACCATTTATCTTCTGTAACATCCCTTTCTACCTTTTCACTCGATCATCCGTTTATTTGTTTCTTTATCTATTTTGCTCGAAATCGTTGGACCGTTTCATTCGCCATTTGTCGACTTTGTGCCAGTGAGGATCGTGTCCGGTCCGACCTAAATCTCTTAGACGTCTACAGGTGCAGGTAGTGTTCGTCTCCATTCGCGTTCATCCACCTTTCTTACCTTCTCATCCGTTTTCCTTCTCTTACTACAATCTTTTCGATCGATCCATCCCCGCTGTCTTTTCGTGATAGTTTCGTTAAATTCGATTAGTTTTCTCATCTCTCTCTCTCTCTCTCTCTCTCTCTCGTTTTCTTTCTTTCTTTCTTTTTCTTTTTTTCTTTCTTCCTTTTTTCCTTCCTTCCTTCCTTTCTGTCTATCTATCTTTCTTTCGCTTTCCATCTCTTTGTCGTTCCTTTTTTCTTCATTTTTCTCGAGAGCAGGTAAAGCCGGACTACTAGATGGAAAGGATCATCGAGGGAATGGAGCGAAGCATAGTTCGAGTTAGCAGAGCTAAAAGAGTCGACACGCTTCCGACACCTTTCACGTAGCGACGAGTACGACACCGTCCTATCGTCTTGGGACTATCCAACGAAGGAAGAAAAAAAAAAAAAAGAAAAAAAAAAGAACTGAGGCTTAGGCCGTACATCTCGTACTTACTTGGGTTCTATCTTAGTCCTCGTCAACTCCCTAGAGCTTCGAAGCAACGCGATTGCTTGTCCGAAAGGACGTGCCTCGGCATCCTTCGATAAATCGTGTTACTCGAACTTGAACTTGGTTAAATCGCCTTTCTAATCCTTCTAATCTAAGAGCATGATATATAATACGTCCCTTAAAATGATAGCTTTGAAATAATTCTCTACCACAAGAGAAAATCATTGATAAATGGTATATTAAAAAATATAGGTGAAAAATAAATCACAATGTGTGTATATTCAGTAAATACGTTTCTTCTTTTTTTCTTTTTTATTTTTTTTTTTTGTGATCAATCAGAGTATTATTATTAATGTAAACGCGTAAAGATACGAACACGTACGCTCATAAATAATCACAATGTTACGTCGTATAATGATATAATTTAGATATATCATAGTATTGTGTAATATCGAGTTATCGATTTGTATTTTATTTAATATATTTACATTATTTCCTAGAATATTCAATTATCGATCTTTCATTTTTAACAATGTAATTATTAACTTTTCGTAATTACTTTTACGGGATTCAACATTAATGAAAATTATTTTCCAACTCAAGCCGATTAATTCATAGAACATGAAACAGCTAACCTTCCATTTCCGTGCATTTATAAAACGGCACTTAAAGCAAGTCGATAATGAAGCGCGTTTATAGTCCCGACTTAACTATTCCCTAAGGAAGTCGCATAATCGTTGGAGAACGCGCTTACCGTACTCGAAGAAAACCACGAAACGACATTCTTCCACATCGAACAACGTTCCATGATATAAATATTTATCAGTATCGTTTGTATAAACGATACGGATCAGCTCGGTTAACTCGGAGATACGGAAAATTCGAGTTTCACGAGATTTTTCCCTATAAGCACAATGACCTTTTGGATTTTGCCTTTAGTATTCGGAAAAAAATAAAAATTTAAATTAAAGTAGAAATTAAATCCAATTTTTATCCGATATTCTTAATAAATCCTTGAAAAATCTAGAAACGTATAGCCAAGAATCTCACTTTACCACGTTATATATCTCGTAGGTAAGCTTTCCGTTATAGCTTTCTTCTTAGATAATTCACAACTTTTCTCATAGCAAGTAATTAAGAGAGTAATTAGCATCGATCGAGATGAAAGTCGACTAGTCTATGAATGGACAAGGACTGACGTTACGTTTCAGAATTAAGGAGAACGTCCATTATTTATAGGAGAATCTCTTTCGTTCGCTCGAACGTTTCTTGATGAGCTCGATCGAAGTGCCACGCCTTGCGTTCTCCAAGAGCTTTCTCGATTAGGTACGTTCGCTCGATTATGTCTAACGTCGAATGTTCCAATTCGAAAGGTTTCTAGGTCGATCGAAATGACGAACGACTAACGTGAGTATATTATATCCCTGATAGTATTAAATCTTAATCTCGTTTTCTATTAACCTCTATTTCCTTTATTATCAATGTACTTTAGATTACTCGTTCGTTTATAGTTAGTTACTTGTCCATATTGAATTTTAATTATTTCATCAAATAATCGTATTAGTTAAAGTTTCAATAAATACCATAGTCATTTCAAATTTTCATTAGATAACCTCGATAGGCGTCTTTACATTAATGAGAACGTTATCAATTCGATTGATTTTTATCTTAACGTTAATATCTATTTTAGATTATATCCATCGACACTTTCAACTTTCGTTCGTTCACTAAGATTGGATTAACAGACGTTCGGTATTGTTCTCTCGTTGCAATCCTCTTTCTGACTTTCGATCCGGCTTAAAAGTGAACTTCGTAGGATGCTCGATTAAATCTTAATCTCGATAAACACAGTCTGCCCTCTTAATTGTTCGATCATTTTCTCTCTCGGTTCGGTATCTCTGCCACGATATCTTCGAGTTTTCAATTGCCCAATGAAGCGTCCTAACCCCAAGGATTCGTTCATTTATTGGAAACTTATCACGTGATCTAAACGAGCAATTTCTGCGTCCTTGCTCATCCTCTTCGCGAATGGTTTGGAAACGGTGACGATGATGATGGCAACCAATAGTACACGTTTCGGTATTATACGTCGTCCTTGTTAAAATAGAACCCAGTGTCAGTTCCTAATTCCTGATCCGTAATGGTTTAATTTACACCGAACGCATCCGTCCAACCACGAACGTCATTCTCCATTTGAGCGTAGTTACGTGCGTACAGCGGAAGGCTCGTTGTTATCGAGTGGAGGTTATTGCTCTATACTCCTCCCTACCCCTCCGCACGATGTCCAACTTACCAAGAGCGCCGAAAATCATCGAACGATAGCCATTGCCAGTGGTACGTATCATCAATGAAGATCATGCTTAATTAATCGTGATCGAGAACTCACCGATCTTGCCATCGTAGTTTATGCTCTTGCCATCGGCCCGTCGCCACATGACGTAAGGGGCAGGATAACCTTTCGCTTTACAGGTCAACGTCACATTTGTTGCTTCCCTTACAACCATGTCCGTACTGGTATCCTTGTCAATGATCGATGGTGGTACTACAAAATAAATACTTTTATTATTTGAACGTTTGGATCATAGTAGAAGGCTATGATAAATTAATACTAGATTTAAGGACATCGATTTTCCTTTTTTCTTTTCTTTTTCTTTTTGTTTTTTTTTTTAAACCGAAATCCATCATATCGACATTAGTTCAGGACGTTGCATCAATCAAACTCGATGTAAAAAATTAATATCCGACTATTCTTTTACTTTGAGCATATAAAATTATTTAGATATCATTCAAATTGACAGATTCCGTAAATCAAATATTAAATATGTTAGATATATGCACGAGATAGAAACGGAAATTAGAAAGGCAGGGGGAAGGGGAATATTTATGTAAGAAAATTCATTCGCATTGAGTGACGTCATGCTATCATAAAATCGATCTTACCGACAACTTGTACATAACCCTGCCTATATCTCATAGGGTCTGTGTTCACTTGACACATGTACCATCCACGATCGCTCTCCTGCGTTTTCTTTATATGAAGATACCACGAGCGATGGTCGTTGTACGATAGAGAGATCCGTGGGTTCTGGGTAATCACATTTTGGTGGATCGACAATATCGTTTGAGTATCGACCCGTACCCAAGCCACCTGAAAACACGTTATAGCGCAAAGGCTCGTTCGTGAATACAGTCTATAGAAAATAGCTTGACTTTATTCGTGAATAAATTTCTATTTCTCGTGTTTATAAAATAGAAAGGGGAGAAAAAAGGGAAGATAGAGAAAAAGAGAGAGAGAGAGAGAGAGAGAGAAAGAGAGAGAAACAGCAAGACGAAGAAATGTTTGCATATTCACCGGTAATAAAGAAAATTTGCTGCAATAAAATTAAATCGAAAGGAGAGAACGTCGATTGTAATTTTGCTATTAGACAAACGAGAAAACATTCTTAGTTTGAAAGAGAAAGACAAAGACAAAAAGAGAGAGAGAGAGAGAGAGAGAGAAAGAAAAGAGATGATAGAACGGTTCAATGGAAATACTTTTTCGTAAAATTGATCGAAAAGAACGTCCATTTTAAGAATGTTTTCCATTTCGAAAATATTGCTAGCTCACGTTAGATGCAACAACTTTATATGAAGCTATCGTTAATAAAGTACAAGATAATGTCACGAATCGTACGATAAATGTTTTAATACGTGAAAAAGCGTTTTTAGATCGATCAGTTCGCAGCTCGTGAAGTGTCGCAATGAAGAATCGTAGGAAAAAACATCATTGGGATTACATAGACTGGCAATCTAAAAGGTGCATTTATCTCGAATCGATATAGAAAGATGATTCAACGTTCACTCTTTTACTTTCTTTAACGCGTCTTCGGTACGATAAAAACGGAATGAGGTCTATGTTTTGCTATAAGATTATATATAAGGGTTTCTTTCCAAAGAAGTTTTATATTCATATTTTATAAAAGTGAAAATGGGTCTGCTGTGTTCTTGAATACATAACTTTGTTTTTAATATTGAGAGCAAAAAACGTGACTTGAAAGTCGCGCACACGACTAAGGGATTTTAATAATTTATACGTTCTACCCCTAATTGCATTTTATAAACATATTATTTATTTAAATTAATTTTTTATTATATATAAGAAAAGTGAAATTTTCATTCGCTTGGCATTTCAAGAATTTAAAACATTACGAGAATGAGTTTTTCGCGGGAAAAAAGAGAGAGAGAGAGAGAGAGAGAAAAAAAAAAGGCACGAGAAGATAATTATTATATTTTCTTTTCTTGTCTTTTCTTTTTTCACTCTTTCCTTTTTCTCTTATGCCAGTGAAATCATAAAAAAAAAAAAAAAAAAAAAATCTCATCTAGGGAAAAGGATAGTGTGTTTCTTTTTTTTTATTCTTTTTTTTTTTTTCTTTTTATTTTAGCATACGTTCGAGTTACCTTATGTTATTCTATACGTTAATAATAATTTACAACAACTACGTAACTATAAACGTCAAGTTTAGTCATTCGAAACGTAGTACGAGCGGCAATGTCAACCACGTTATCCTCGAATATCGTTGACGAGAAAGTAGAGGAAAATGAATCCCGCGGCTCGATGCTTTTATCGAAACGATTCGGGGATCGCATTTCCGAAGCGCTCTCGTCCGGCAAACGATTTGCAAAATCGTTCGACCGTCCAATCGGATCAGCCGGCTTTCCTCGATTGGTAGTAAAGTAATGACGCGATAAGAAATTAATGTTACGAATAAAACGATTTTTTCTATCACATCAAAAAGACGTAACTTTTCAACTAAATGAATACGAATTTATTCGTTGAAAACAAAACAAAACAAAACAAAAAAAAATATATATATATACATATATATTAATTTAACTCATAAATCTTTTCTAAGACTCTCTATGTGATGAATGCTATCAATTTATTCTATTGTTGTCAGATCTCAATTAACTGAAGGAAAATGAAGCAATTATGCAAACGCCTTGTCGGAGATGAAGGAAATAACGGCATCCAATTCGCAGTACGCGAACCGTAGCCATGGAAATATTTTCATTAATATCTTCCATTGTTCTCGAGCGTCCCTTTCTCACTTGTCTCCCCTATCGGAGCTATAGTTAAGGATAATTCGATAATTATTCTATCTTAGTCATACAAATATCTAGAATATTTCTAATCGTTAAATCTTCAATATCAATTTTAATTTATATATATATATATATATATATATATATATATATATATATATATGTATATATGTATATATGTATATATGTATATATGTATATATATTTTTTTTCTTTAATTTATATTACACTGAAATAATTACTTTCTATACAAAGAAGATGAGAAACATGAGACTTACTTTATAAGTTTGAAGATTATCCACGATGCATGCCAAGAGTGCATCGCGTCCCACGCTGACGGTCACATTTTGTATCTCCTCCGCGAACCTTGGAAATCTTGGATCTGAAAAGAAAAGAAAAGAAAAAAAAAATGAAAAAAATGAAAAAGAAAAAAAAAAAAAGAAAGAAACATCGTAGTTACTTCGTAATGAAGGAGACATTTACCCATCTCTCTTCGTCGTCGTTTATTTCTATATCTTTTTTTTTTTTTTTTTTTTTTTCTATTTGTATAAAGAAGGAGAGACGATGAGAGAATTATTCGTTATCGTTATATCGAAGATTTAAGATTTTCTCTCGTGGAAGATACTTTCGAATCATTATGTGCCGTAAGGCATAATGAGTTTCGAAAAGTTGAACCACGAAGCATCCTTAGGGACTTTTAGATTCTCTAATGTCTTTATTACGCATCAAGCATCTTGAATTATTTATAGGCATGAAGAAAAAGCCAAGGAGAAAAAGGAAAGAACATGGAAGTAAGAAAAGAAATTCGTCGGATAAGATGGCCGACTGTAGGAGAGGGAGAAAAAAGGACTTGAAAGAAGAACAGGCACAACGAGCTTTGTGAAAAGCTTTGGTTACTTTTATTTCTTTTTTAAGAGAACGACCAGTACCACGGTAAGAGAGTTACGTTAATTAAGTCCTCCGTGCTTTATTATATAAACAGTTCAGCTTGTTAATTGCCGTTTCTATGTCCGCATATTCTATTCTCGAGATTGTACCGGTAGCGTGTAATGAAGAGTTCCTTTTTGACAAACGACCGATTGAAATATGAACGCAATTGGAAAGAAAAGGAAAGGAAAATATTTCTTTAAATGTTTCATTTTTTGATATAATTTTGACGAAGTAAAAAAAAAAAAGAAAAAAAAAAGAAAAAGGAAAAGAAATAAATTCAAATGTCGACAAATATATAATAAATAATTTATATTAATTTACATAGATTTGATTTTGATTCTCAAATTGATGTTAAAAACAATATGTCGTTTAAAGATGTATCTCTATTCAATTATCGATATTAACGACGTTTTTACGATCATTTTTAATGAAATTTTATTATTTTAATTAATTAATTTAATTCATAAGAAAAATATTTATATTTTGCAGAAGGAACGACAGATGACGTGCACTGGGTATTACATATGACTCATAAAGATTTCGAAGATAACGCTTTCCAGTATAGTGATCATGTTGGATTATAACGTAGTCGTAATTAATCAACTAAAAGCCGTTTCAAATTGAAATTTCCAAATGCAAGATCTCCAGGCTCTCTTTTAATATAAATTACAATGAAATCATATACGTATTTACGTACGAACATTAAATTTACTCGTAACAAATATCCTTCTCTCAAGTATAACGAAATAAATTCATCTATAATAGCTCATAGGGAAAATAAATGAAGCGAATGAATTGTGTTCATCAAAATCGAATGTTATTGGTATGATCCTTCCTTCTCATCCTCATCGAAACCCGTCAACCAGTAAACAGAACGAACTGGCCACGAATTTTATGCACCTGTCTGCGTTATATTAAATAAACATCCTGGAGAATTTTGGATGAATAATTAATTTTCCGTACGCTCGGTTCTATCTACGCACAATGCATTAATGATAATGAGAGATAGACCGTTGGAGCCTGTCGGAATTCATAAGCACGTCGCTCGAAAGTCGTTATCAAACTGATTAACAAGCTTTGATTAAAGCGAAGCCGCGTGCTGTTGCTCACGGGTCTGTTGCTTACGTATAACGTGTCACTAACGTGACTCCAGTATTCTCAGTATTTTGGATTACTAGTATAGTACAACGATATACCCAAAGCTTTAATTCTACGTCATCGTTTAAACATGAACGCGATAGTCGTTCCTTGATGAATACAAATTCAGTTTCATGTAATACAAGTGCTACCATTTTCTTTACCTATAGATCTAAGATACCTATGATCCCACCATGTTTGCATCGAGATATCTCTTCTATGAAGAACTTTGGATTCTACTATACTGACTCTTGTAAAGCAATTGTTCTTAATAGTGCTGACTTAACAGATATGACTTCTTTGAAGAAGAATAGTTAATATAGTTAAACTCTTGTAACATTGTTATGTATAATTTTATTCAGAGATAAACTCTACGTTTAAACATCGTACGATGATGATACTGTCGTCCTGTTTGCTAATATTCAAAAAGAATATTACATCGCTTTCATTTACGAAGATTAACATACGTTCGACTTGTAACATTGCTCTCGTTGTTTTTATCTGACACTGGTTATGCTCAAAAATTCATTTACCCTACATGAAAGTATCTCTTTGGTATATCACCAAAATATCTATAAAAGGATATGAATTTTTCTTTAATCTACTTCAGAATAATACTATAATAAGAATCTTGGGATTTGTTTGAATCGAAAGATATAGTAATGGAAATCTAAAAATATTTATTATATCCTCTGACATTCTAATGAAAGACGACGACTTCTTTTTTGTTACATGTTACGAGGATATAATAATAGAAGGATTTTTTCCCACTTTTATATACATATATATATATATATATATATATATATATATATATATATATATAGACGTAGATTATAATGGATGACGATGTATTTGTCTACACTTTGAAAGGAAATACGAAAAAAAAAAGAGAAATACTGAGCTAATACGCAGTACGAATAAAACATGAGCAGATGTATACATATGAACACAACAAGTAGTACGAGCAAAATATGACCAGGGAAGTGATACGAATAGAAATTGAACTATTCTCGCTAATAATGAATGAAAATTCCATTGAAGGTTCTTTCATACGTTTATATATAAAAGTTGATATTTACATTAATAAAAACAATAAATATAATATGAAAATATTACAGAAAAATTTCTATCATTTATACTCAAATCATATTTTGCAATTAGAGTATAAATGTATAAAATACATGAAGTGAAGTAATCAACTGCGATGAATTAAGATATATATATATATATATATATATATATATATATATATATATATATATATATCGTATTTATATCATATCTAGGTTAGAGATCGGCCATAAAAAGACTAATAAATTTAAGTTTTCTAAATTGACGATTTTTTCCTGATATGAATTATTCGTTAATTAATCTATTTTATTATTTATGATATAGATATATCGTGGCTTAGATTTTTGTTACTACGAAAAAAAAAAAGAAAAAAGAAAAAAAAAACACTGCGTTAATTTAAAAAAAAAAACTCATTGAACTAAATTAAGATAAGAAAAAAAAAAATATACATTAAAGAATTTAAAATCACTCCTAACAATTTTTGTCTTTTTTCCTTTTTGCGAACAAACAGGTAATACCTCTTTGAAAGATCCAAAACGAATACTTCGATATAATTCACTATTATGTGAATTCGAATTAATCTTATTTAAATCATCGTATACATTATTATTATTATTATTATTATTATTATTATTATTATTATCATCATTTAATACCTCATCTAATAGATACGATAATCGATATAGAACCCTTATCTAAAATTCTTCGTTATTTTCCATTTTCCTATCATTATACAAAACGACGTTTAATTTTCTTCGACAATTGTATCCAAATAAATCAAAACTAAGATTATATAAAGTCGAGCGATTATACCGATATTAATTAAACTATTCGAATCTTAATTATGGTATAATGGATTTGCTAAAGGGAACAACACCGTGGCCGTTTATATTTTTTTCTTTATGCAAGACAAGGACGCTTCCAGAGAGTATTTCATTAAGTCAAGAAGCTTAAGGAAGAAAGGAGTGACGCTATTTAAAAGTTTTGTGAAACTGTAAATATCTGCGCTTCGTTCGTTAAGGACGGTTATATTAAAGTCTCTCTCTCTCTCTCTCTCTCATTCTCTCTCTGCCTATCTCTTTCTCTCTATCTCTATCTCTTTTCCTTTCTTTTCTTAAGAAAGAGAAAGAGAGACAGACAGAGAAAAAAAGAGAGAGAGACAGAGAGAGAGAGAGAGAGAAAATATTACAAATTCGTACGAATTTTGGGGCAAAACTCAAGTAAATTTTCGACTTTCTTGGAAAGTAAGCATATACCCGAACACTCTAGAGAATTGTAAAACGCGTTAATACGTCGAACTGAATGAGAGGAGATTCGTGAAACTGCATTGAAGCGTACAAGAAGTTAACGGTTCAATGGTTAAACCTGCCATTTTCACCTGCCATTTCGATTGTACGTACGTGCGAGATAACATTCGAGATAGTTTTACTATAGCATTTCGTCTAACTGTCGAAAGAAGTTTTCCATCGACCTTAGAGAAAGCTTGGCTAATACCGGAAACGTTCAAGACCTCACGTATGGTGTCGTTCATGTATCTCTCCCGCCTGCGGTCAAATATTCTTCTGATAAAAAATACCAAACTTTCGATGACCCGATGAAATGTAGAGATAGATAGAATGAAAAAAGAGAGGAAGAGGAGGGTAAAGAGAAATGAGAGAAAGAGCGAGAGAGAGAAAGAGAGAGAAAGAGAGAGAGAGAGAGAGGAAAAGAGAAAGGAATATGTTTGATGTTTGCTCAAAGCTCCATCGGGATTTCACCGATTTTGTTCGCAAATGGATAACGGAACTCGTTTCAATGCGGGTAACCATTTGACATCGTGGCTTTTATGTCAGTTAGAAACTACGAACTGAACGTGTTCGTTTCATTCATTTCCTCTTTCTCTCTCTCTCTCTCTCTCTCTGTCTCTCTCTCTCTTTATTTATCTATCTCTCTCATTTTTTATCCTTCGCCAGAATGATATTAATATTTTTCTAGATTGAAAAATATATTGGATGGTCACTAAAAAGGATCTCGATTTAACGAGAACAATGTAAGATATATACATATATATACATATACATACATACATATATATATATATATATATATATATATATACACATGTATGTATGTATGTATATATTTATCATGGCATTTGATGCCTTACTTACAAAGCCATCGTAAATGAATAAAATCCTTAAGGGTTTATCTCAAACGAAGTTAAAGTTTATTGGTTTAGCCGCAGTAAACGGAAAAGAAGTT